CGTGGTTCCTCAGGCCTCAAAAGTCCAATCTTCTATCGGAGAGTTAAGAAACTCTAAGTTACTCATCTGATTTTTAAAAAATATAATTCCTGTATCCGGTTCTCTTGTGTGTGTACATCCTGGGTTCCGTTTGTTTCAATTCCTGTTTTATGTCGTAGCGTGCGTCGACATGACTTGAAGCTCGATTTACAATCTTTTAACTTTCTAGGTCAAACCTGCGAGGCAACTATATTGTTTTGGAGGGGGGTGTTCTGATAATAATGGTTTATTGATACAAGTTCTACTTATTAAGCCATTGTTGTCATTTGCGTGTGATGAAAAGAACGAGGTTGGAATTGGAACGAGGCTTTCAACCACACGCAAATCCAAGTTTAAAGCACTTGATATTTCCAAGCGGTTACTCATATAGCTACTGACCAGGCTTCGTTCCTTAACATCGTTGACCATACGAGAACCGTGTATCAACCTAATATGGCCGTAAGACAGCAGTTACTGATAGCGACTAAACAACGTTTAACAAAAGATTGCATATTTAAGACAACCTTTATCTGTAGTTGATAGAAGCGGTTGTGTAAAGTTGTTGCAAAAAATGCATAATGCATAAAAATGTTAGAAGTCACCATTAATACTGGAAAGAGTGACAACAAATGATTTTAGAAACTTATTTTCCTGAAAAATTGTTTAAAAAAAGATTTTAAGAATTACAAACAGTAGTGTCATATTGAGCTCGGGACGAGAACTAGAGAGTGGATAAAAGCGTAACAGGAGGAGCACTGGCTGCTTGGTCAATGAATATCGAAAGTTTTCTTATAAAGAAACGATCAATATTACCACTACCAATAGAAAGTTAGATACTGCACTTTGATTCCAGCTTGACTGCTATGGAGTGAAGAAAAGCGTAACTAGCTCAATGAATGCCGAAACTTTCTTTGTAAGGCTGATACAGTGTAACGTGGATATAAGAAACCCGGATATAAGAGAAACCCGGATATAAGAGAGATTTTCTCCGGTCCCAAATTAGAGTCTGTGTTAATGCATATAAAATAGACCAAACCCGGATATAAGAGACTTCTTCTCCGGTCCCGACAACTCTCTTATATCCGGGTTGTCTTACCTTTAACATTACTATTTGTTGTTAGAGTCTTCAAAGATTACAGATAAATACAATAAATATGCATTTACATGTAAACGTGAATAATAATTGTGACCTGCTCGTTCGGAAAAAATAAGAAATTGGTCTGTATGGTAAGTTTGAACATCTAACAAGCATTACTTTGTATTAGAACGAGGGGTTAAAGTAGTTAACATCAAAATAGGCTCCCAAATCTTGAAGGGGGAGATCTTGAGTTACGTTCAGAATTTAATAATTGGTTTTGATATGAGCTATCTGCTAACAATCGTAGAATGACAGCGGCATATTTTTCAATGAAAAGAAAATGAAGTACAGATGTAAGTTAAAAAAATAATAGTTTCAACGGTGATAATTATGAATTGATCAAATCCTTACATAGATCTTCTCTTGCTTTCATTTTTAACAAAGACATTATGTGCTCTTTATGTGCACTGAATAAAAAAAGCGTGAAAACACTTGAATATCTGTTGCAAATCGTTTATCTCTCCTAACATATATACTAGATATTAAACTGAAAATATAGACATTCCAATTGTATCAGTTTTATTTTCAGTAAGCGAAACATTTTCTAATTAAACAAAATTGCCGACTCATGTTATGTCCTAATTAACTGGAATCCATTATTTTATATATATATATATATATATATATATATATATATATATATATATATATATATATATATATAATAAAGACGAAAGGACAACTTCTGATGGACTATATACAGACAAATGTAAGGATTTTATTTTGCAAAAGTATTTATAAAGAAAAGTAACTAAAAAAATGTTGTTAGTGTTTCAAAATTTTTAACTTACAAAGACGCTCAGAAATGTTCATCAGGTTAACTAAAATGTCTAGTCTAGGTAAATTATAAAGGATGATAAGTAATATAGTTTTTATGTCAAATAAACGAAAGTGAAAAAATGATGTTGAATGTTTCTATGCAATTAATATTGAAATTATTTTAAATTACATTAAACATAAGAAATTAGAAAGATGGGAACTGACAGAAAGCTTGACTGAATAAAAGACAAACTGAACCAAGAGATAATCGACCAACTTAGAATCAGGCAGTTATATGAACTACAATTTTGGCTAGAGAAACAAACGCTATAAAGAAAAGAGTTGCAAATGTCAGAATTAATCCAAACATAATTGACAAGATATTACACACACACACGGACATACACACACGAACACATCATGAACATAAAAAAAATTCATTAATAAACAATTGACATCAAACGAATAATAAGAAAATATATTCTACAGAACTCAATGCAAGTAACCAAAAAGCTAATATGATGCAACCAAAAAACCAAAAAACCAAAAAGCTAATATGATGCAAAATAAACAGTCGACATGAAATGAAATATCATTGAATGCATGAGACGTTATCATAAAGTGCATATGATATAATAGGCGCACATATTTTATTAGTATAAATGAAAATATAAATGAATAAATAGAATAATAAAAAATAAATAAAATAAATCGTACTCTTTAACCGTTACACATGACGATGCCGTAGACTATTTTAAATTTCTAGCTTCCCAAAGAATGCCAGGATGTAGACAAAGGAATTCTAATCACAGTGACACCACATCGGTTCTTGATAATGTCTGCGAATGTCGAAAGTACTTGAACCAAAATAACAAAATATGAACTTCGGACAGTTTATCCACTACTTCGAGCACAGCAATCAACACTTCAACCGAAAATTGTAAAAATGTTATAAAAAATTAAACAGACAGATCTTGCGGTCTTTTTAGACACACACACACACACACACACACACACACACACACACATATATATATGTGTGTGTATGTGTGTGTGCAGATAAGACTGATCTAGTAGGCACACATGTTGAACAAATTCAATACATATTATTTTATGATCAGGCGAATATGAACATATATTTTTATTTGTTTTATTGTAAGATTTATTATGTGAGAACGATTATCAAATGGACACGTGCGTGGGGCTGGGCGCATATATTTAAAAAAAATCTGCTATATTTATGGACGAACAGTACTTGTTATTGGACATTAAAGGCAGCGTATGAATATATGAATATGAATTCAGGCGTGAAATTAACAGTCACAACGTAGTGTTGTTTCATATGTCCACACTCATCTCTCACTCTACACACACACACACACACACAGACACATACACACACACACACATATATATATATATATATATATATATATATATATATATATATATATATATATACCGGTGTAACACCAAAATTGTTCATTTCCTAGATTAAACTTTGAACCGTTGTGCCTTAGAAATGATTAAAGATATCTTACTGGAATTCTCCGGTTTTTTTTTCTAAAACCACTGGAATCGCCTTTAGTTCTAAGTTGAAATGATGATCCCTCTTACTGTTGAGCCCCCTGATACCAATTTTCGTTCTACTTTTTTAAACTTATTCATCGTTCTCTTGATGATTCTTGAATGGACTTTGAAAATGCAAGCCAGAGTATGAATGTTGGTACCTGAATTTATCTTTTTTCTTGTCACCATTGATCAGTTGGGAAGACAGATTGGGGCTGACACAAAATGATTTTAACCTGTTCTCTTTCTAGCTGAATAACTCAAAGAATTTCTCAGTGATTCTTACGACAAATGGTATCAAAATGGCTAACCGTCATTTCTGAAAGTCTGGAAAAAGAAACTAAATTGGTTTAGAGGTTTTTTAGATATTAAACATTTTGTAGGATGGACAACTGTCCCATGCTGTTACACGATTTGGACAATTTTGCTGTTACACCCGGTATATATATATATATATATATATATATATATATATATATATTAATAAAAACAGACCACTTTAAGGTTTCAAGTAATAAGTTATTTCACCACAACCCCTTTAACAGGGCTCTGGATCATCAGACTTTACTTCCAAAGGTTATATATATATATACATGAAATATTGTAATACATTTCTAGGACGGATAAAGTGTGTTTGGAAGAAATTTCTAGATCTTTATTGGCCCGGACACATTTCAGCAAATTTCGTCAAATGATCAAATATTAGATCCTTTCTTTGATTGGGCTTCCAGGTCAGAAAGATAATTTTTCAGCACCACCTCGTAGATATAAACAGAAATATGAGAACAGATTGATATCAGATTAAGCGAAGTAAATATTTATGGGCATACTTATTAATATTATAATTGTGCTTGTCCCTTCCTTCGTTAACTCACACGACCGTTACGCCCTGCCAATACCTCATAAATAATGGATGATTCTGTTTTGATCTCATTGGAAAGAAGCTGAGAAAATGAAAGGGAAAAAAAACGAAGAATGAAGAAAATATAGAAGTGCTGAGAGAGAATCAGATTAAGCTGATAAGAACAGGTACTACACTTTCATCTTTCATCGAAAAGGCCGAGAAGGGAGTGTATTTACTTGCCTGATGTGACATAAGGTCAATTTATTGTGGGGAGCCAGAGTGCGTGCCACTGAGCCAGGCTCCAAAATAGCCCAGCCACCACCAGTTGGGCTGGCATCGGTGATACTACCTACCGCCCCCATCTTTAGTGCAATGAGGAGAGGTACTTCTGCTGGCAATTGTTTCTCGAGACCAGGCAACTTTCAATATTGAATTGCTGATGTATAATAGTACCCGAAACAAAATTGAGGATGGTGACAAATGTGAAAAATTTCTTAACGAAACGTTTCGCTGAGAGCGTTTGCACTCTTTGGCTTCCTCGGGTTTGAATGAAAGACACACTCTTTGTGAGGAAAAATGCTTAGGGATTTCTGAGGATAAGCAATGACCATACATCAAATTAAATTAGATTACCTTCTCACCGCCAATATCTAGACTAACTATATAGACCTGTCAATAGAGTAAGATAGATGAGTAGATCAAATTGAAATAAATAGAAAACGATAAATAGATTATAGGACAGGACAGAGTTGGCCGGTTTAAGCATGGATAAAACCAAATAGATAGATAGATAGATAGATAGATAGATAGATAGATAGATAGATAAGGCCAGACACAGAGACAGACAGATATGAACGCGGGGGATGGAGAAAGATAAGATTGAGAGAAAAGATCAAAAGAGAGGGAAAGAATGAGACTGAGTAAGATTGACAAAAGTGCAGAAAACGTCAAATGGACGTGGACAATTCATGAAAAGTTATACAGTCATAAATGATAAAGAAAGAAAAAGAAAGGATAACAAGAGAAAGAAAAAGAGCATAGAATATAAACCGTAAATTCGTTATGGAAAGGTCAACATAGTTTGACTGCTACGTAAAAAAAAGAAAAGAAAAAAAACATTTCTGTGTATTCTGTGCGTGATGTGATGTTCTCCATGTTACATCATTTTAATAAAAATAATTCATTTTATTTACGATCATCGCTGATGTTATCTATTCTATCTGGGTTGTCGTCTGGAGTGAATATTAAGATATTAACATAATTTCTTTTGATGCATGCATCGTTAGACATCTATTATACACATTTATATAATCATATATATATATATATATTGTGCATTTGAGCAGCAATCCTTCTTTTATTAAAGACGATTGACAAGGTATTGCAATTAAATTTTTTTTTAAACGGAGTTTGGTAGGTTTCCGTGTTTAAATATACGCAATATACTCACAGAAAATACAAAAATAGTAGCCTTATTCACATGAAAAAAAAGGCTAAAAATAATGGAAGCAATATTGATAGAAAGAAAAAAAAACACGCTCAATAACATCAACTATGAACACGGCTACAGTTTTCTAACCGTGTTTGCCAAAAATTCCTATAACTATAGATACATACATAAAAAATCTATACATTCGGATAATTTTTACGTATCTATGTCCATAAAAGAAAAAAATTATACGATCACAAGAAAAATTAAAAAACTTACCTTGTCAGTCATTCTTTAATGAAACATATATATATATATATATATATATATATATATATATATATATATATAATTGTGAATGTAAACTAAATAACGAGATATTAGAAACTGTATATGGGCGCATAGCGTGCATACGCAGATAAACAAATAAATATTTATTTAATTAAATTTATGATTCAAACAAAATAGTAGTCAATGTAGTTAAACAGAGCTATGAAGTATATATTAATAAATACAAATCTACCTACGTAGCCACTTGTACATTTTTTTTTTAAATACTGGGTCTCATGGGAGAAACGCTAAATTATACGCAGATTTAAAACCCAAAGTTAATATAAATATTATTGGGGTGTAAATTCCAAATACAAAGTGTAGGTAGGGAAATATTGGGAAAAAAAAGTAAAAAAAAAAAAAAGAATGATGCAAGCTAAAACTTTACATAGTCCATGTTTTTTCGTTGAATAAAAAAAATAAAAAAAAATATTTAAGTTGAAAAAACTATAAAGCGTAAAGTGCAAGCAATATGATAAAAAAGAGTGGGTAGTCGCGTTGAATTTCATTTTTGCTGATAAATGATCCCTATGTTTCAAGGGAGTAACACTGCAAAGTATATAAAGTTAACGCTTAATAAATAATAAATAATAGAATAGAAACTAAAAAATAATGTACAGAGACAGAGAAGGTAAAAGGTAAGAAAAAATTTCAAAAATTTCAAATAAAATTTCTGAAAAGAATTATTAATAAACGCTAAAATGATTAAGGGAATAATAAGTATTTAACCTAAAATATTTAATGGGCAGTTGAACGTGGGTCAAATGAACTATCAAGAATCAAAATACTTAAGGAAAGAACTTTTTTATGTATGCAGGGCTATCATGAACTCATTACTTTTGTTCAGTAAGTTTGGATCATTAATACTTTTAGAATGAATCTTTTTTTCCCAGCAAACACAGGTTACATCGGTCGCCACGACCGGTAAATGTTGTAGTTTTTGCAACGACATTCCAATTTACTACTGGTGTCTAGTTATTTATTTTTATTTCCCAGTAAAATTTTGTGAGTGCCGTGTCATTTGAATATTGTTTATTAGTAAGATGGTAATTTAGGGCTTTTCAGTGGTTGGCAGTGGAACCAAAATAAAACATAGTCTCGCCATTAAGTGCGAGATTATAGTTGTTTCAACGAGAGATAAGTGTATATTTTAAATATATATATATATATATATATATATATATATATATATATATATATATATATATATATATTTTGGATGGATAGATGTGAGTTTGTGACCCTGGGTTTCACGCTTTAGCGATTGTCAGACAAATATGTTAGCTCTATCTCTGATATTGAGCGCTTTCTAATAAGTACCGCGCATATAATATATAAATAATTATACATATATATATTTATTTATATTTATATACACTTTTCACACACACACACACACACACACACACACACACACACACACACACACACACACATATATATACATATATATATATATATCAGATAAAATATAATTTAAGGTATCCTATATTCATGGTGCTCAATATCAGCGATAGAGAGCATGTAACTTAAATGTGAACATTGAAGTCAACACCTAGAGGCGAAAGTCTTTTCATAAAAAAGCTATCGCCTCTGGGTGTTGACTTCGTTGCCCACTTATATATATATATATATATATATATATATATATATATATATATATATATATTGTTATTATGGGTCCACCCCTTTTCATACAAGTGGATTCGACCAGTGTATACTTGTACTGCTGCCGGTGAATACCCAGGAGAGTGACTGTGATACAATGACAGTGATACAGTGAGAGTGTGAGGTAACCGCGTTGTAGGAGTCACAGTTGCGAGCACGTAGACTCAGAAGGAAGTTATACTTCGATACTGAATTTCCCAGACTCTCTATATATTATTATTATTGCTACTAACCGCATTTCTGGATCTACTAACCGTATTACCAATTGTATTATTACGTCAATACATTTATTTGCTATATTTCATTCTTGCGTTTGTCATTCATTTTGAGACCGGATTTCATCCCGGAATCCACATAATATATATATATATATATATATATATATATATATATATATATATATATTGAGTAGTTGGGACTTAATCTCAACCCTAGTGGATCTCTTACATGTGGCCGCTTGGGAATACCAGTACGTTCGTCCAAATAAAACAGGTTCATTGAAGAGTTTTATGTTACAGCTTGTTCGGAAAATTGAAGAATACAATAAATTTAAAACAGACAGAACTTATAAGGTGAATTTACTAAAACCTTTGCATCGTGCCATATGTGTGTGGTGTAATGAACTGGTAATAGCTGGGGATTCTTAACTAGAGAGTCGCGTGTTCTGGTAACCGTGATATTCGTTATATTCACTTACGCGCCAATATCCTTGGGAAAGGCATGAATCTAATTTTCTCATCCCATCTATGGGTTAATTAGCAAGATTGGTAGCACTAAATTTTTATCATCGCAAAAAATCCTTGGCTTTAAATAACCTGCAAAATGGTTGATAAACCGTAGAAAACGGATTAATCAGTCAACAATTGAGTCGTTAGACGTTGAATATCATATTAGTTATAAAGTCGGGGATCAATTCTATACTACAATCAGTATATAAACTGATCCCTCACTTATGGCCACGGTAGTTTTTATACATTTATATTCCAGAGAATGTGAATAAATCTAAAAAACATGATGTGTATCTAATGAGTATTTCATTGACTGATTAGTTTTCTTCGTTGAAGCTAGAAAATATTTTTAGATTATAAGAATGATTTGGGGCAGATAATAATGCTTTAGTGCTGCAAGTCTTACTAATTAGCCCATAGCTTGGAGGATAATAGGTGGATTTATACCTTTTCCAAAGATATTTACGCGTAAGTGAATATAACGAATGCAACGGGAATTGGAACTCTGCTCTCCGATTAAAAATTCCATGCCATTATCCATTACACCATCCAATTTTACACCATCAAATAATTCGAAGAGGTTGTCCATTTAGGTACTAACCAGTTTCGACATTGCTTAACTTCGGTGATCTTACGGAAATCGATGTTCAACATAATATGGCCGTAAGCCACGAACATGATTGGTCCTAGACAAAATACAACAAAAGATCTTGCACCTCCAGTAACCGTACGAGCCGACTTGCAAATATCGTGTAATCTACGACGAAAATTTCCAGTCATCAATAATAAAAAAAAAAAAAACACTTGGTGCATCCATACAGTTGACGTGTTGCTTTAAACTATTAATGGCGAAGAAAGACATTCGTAAAATAAACAGGCAAATTTTTGCACGAAGAAGGATGTCATGGATCGATAGAGACATACTTAAACAATGATCACTCTTAGCATCTGAATTGTGTGTGTGTTTGTGTAATCGTTTTTATTCGGGGCTGCTGTTTTGTATACGGATTCGGTTTGGCGTACATAAATGGGTTTAATATGGATAATGAACAAATGTTTCAATAGCTCGTAAATTATGATGTAAATGCGTGGCAAGTACAATAAAATAAACAATGTAAACTGTAAAGGAGGCACTACCGATGAGGACATGAATAGAAATAAGAGGTAAACAACAATAATGGAATAGAATAATGGAATATGGAATAATGGAATATAAATAATAGGTAAACAATAATAATAAAAAAAAATGAATAGAAAATTAAAAGTGGAAGATAATGAAAAAGAAATTAAAAAAGGTGTGATCAGTGCAAAAAGAAAAAAATGTACAAAAGACTGAAATAATTTAGATATCTGCAAAAGTTTACTGTGAGAACCAGTTGTCGACTGTGTAATCAGGCTAGTTTTCAAAAAGACAAAAAATACGCAGTGGGAAAACATGTAATAAAATAAGAGAAACGATTTATACAATTGTATATGCAAATGTTCAGATATAATAAACACAATAAATGTATTTCAAATATATTTATTTCTCTCGGACTTGCTTTTTATTACCCAGGCTTTATATCTATATCCTTTTCTCCCCTATCCATTTTGCTATATAAATAGATAAATCATTTTGTACACACACACACACACACACACACACACACACACACACACACACACACACACACACACACACATATATATATATATATATATATATATAAAAACATATCAATCCAACTATATATGTTAGCTCTATCACTGATATTAATCTCT